ATTAAAATAAGGCCACTCAATGCAGCCGTCGGAATTACTGTGCACTGTGTATTATTTTGTTTTGTTTTTGCAAAGACATTAGAAAGAGATTGTCTTTGGTTTTTGAGACTCAGGGAAAAGTGATCGCTTACTTAATGAACTATTTTTGTTCTCGGAGAACTCTAGCTATATATTGCACACCTTCTCCACCAACATGACCGGCGGGTTGATATACTAGTAATATGCCGGCTGTTTCACTTCAAGTTGTTTAATGTATTCAATCCTTAATGTTACGTCACTGCGGAGTCTTTGTACGCCCCACCATACGGTTCTCGTCCGAGTATCAATTATTCAAATCTTAGTAATGCACGAATGCAGACAACGTATGGTGGCCCACATGTGACAAAAACAAGTATCTTTGTTACTAAAGCAAAAGTGGGCGGACATGCGGGCTATAGCTATTTATTTGGCACAGGTCCGAGTCCGATTATTAGCAAATAGCGTTCAACTTGAAAGGTTGTGTAAATCAGAAGGTGATGGTCTGCTTGATTGATGGCGTGATGTGTAATGTCAACTAAAAGTAACTTAATTTTAAGATAGTTTATGATATAGTCTTCAAGTAAAGAATACGGTCAAAACTAAATTACAACAAATTTTAAAGAAAGATTGAATCGCTTATATTGTAGAATTGGGGTTATTAAAATAAAATCGTAAGACAGTTTAATAAGTTAAGTTACAATCGGGATAGTGATATTAAAGATTATGAAACTGAATTTAATCTTAACTAGACTCACAATTATTTATATTTCATTACAATTGCTTGATAATATCAGCATTTCTCGTATCGTCTAGTTTTATTCAAATCTGTTGCATGCGTGCTCCAGATCTGAAGGAGCATCAGTGTTACTGGCTCCTGACAAACGATCAAAGCTGTCTCCTTGATTTGAGTTACAGCGCAGTTCCACAAAGCGTTAGTGTGCTCATGCACTGTGCGCTATGGCAGTGACGTCATTTTCACAAAATTTGTTTTCAGATGCCTTGTTATCCGTGTGTGGTTGACCACGTGATATGTGTCATATAAATGCATGTCATTGGTTTTTTTTTCTTTCTTTCATCTCTAGTAGTAAGATACTCTTTTCAGAAATTCACTTTTGGAGTAAAAATGCAATATAAGTCCAAATCCTGGTTGAGAAAGTTTAAAATTAGAAGGGGTTAACAAACAACAAAACAACTCTACAGCTGACACCATCCCGATTTGTTTAGCGCAAAACTATGCGAAGGAAACACAAATAATGTTTCTATCATCTCCCAATTCCAGTGTTTCTAATAGTGAGTTTTCTTGGAGCGCGCTTAATATGCTAATATGCAAGCTACCGTCCTTTGCTTCATTTTTCAGTGTTTTTGAAGAACTAGACTTATACCTGTCACTATAATTGAGTTTTCGAATTCCAAGAGACTCTTATTATAAGTGTATATCATTTAAGTTGGGTCTGAGTCGGTTTGTTTTGAATATTGAATCCAAATAAACACTCGACACCCATAATTGTTTGACAAAAAGGGCGATCTCACAAATATAGAAATGTAATTTTATATTATATGCTGTTTCTTGGTATTTGAAACGAAAACTAGTATGTATCTCTGATGACAACGGTGGTGCTTCTTGTGGCCACGTTTGCAGGTAGCGTCTGGAGTGTCAGCGTACTTATCGTCACCTAGCGCCAAAATACAAAAGTGTTTTTCACGGGTGATTGTGTTGGAAAACTGACGACGCACACTGTGATATCAACACGAAATGAGCTTGGAACAAAGCATTCTCGACTTTAGCCATCAAAAGATAGGCTTTAATCACTAAACAAAGAGCTCAAAGTATGGGCACGCGTCAACCACCCGGAAAGAATCTCCACAATTCGGCATCTCATCTCCATGTCAACGGGTAGTTCATTTTATCCGAAGACGGACTTGAAAACAAAAGAACGATTCTCGCCAAGATGCGGGCACGTGCCAGTGACCAAGATGTTCTGTGTTGACGAATTAATCAAGCGGCTCTTTTATAAAAATAATTTAAATTGTACCTTGAATAAAGAACATACCGGCAACTGTAACGTGACGGAGGCACAACGTGAATTTCTAATACTGATGAAGGGCATGGCAAAGCGGAAAAGAAAATTAATATTATACAATCAGTTTTTTTCTTCACTATTAGCGTACTGCACATAGAAACAACGGCCGGTGCATATTTTACAATGCAGGTTAATATGGTCCGCGTTCTGTTCTGGTGATTAGACTAACTTTCCAGCAGTTATTGACATTTCTCTCAAACGTGTTTATTTATACTGTGGAATTTATTTCATAATACTTTCAAAGTTTACACATGTTTTAGTATTATTCTGGGCGTATGATTGCCTGGGAATTGGGCGGAATTTACGGAAATGTGAGAACAAGCCGTGTGTGTTGTTAACATCAAAGACAGTTAAAAAATGAAAAGGAGTGATTGTACAATCGACGACAGGACCTTGGTGACATCGGGAGTTGACTTCTCCATGGAATTGCCATGTTCATTTCTTTTAAAAGTCTAATTAGTTTTCGGCAAGCTGTTTCGCTCCTTAGAGAGTCGTTGCTTTTGAAAATGAGGGTAATTTGCATATTGGCGTACGACCCACACAATCGCTATTCATAATACGGCATTGTAGCGGGGTTGGAGAAAACAGAGCTCCGTAAACTCAATAGTCCTTATTACAATAGGCGAGAACGAGGCTAATTTGACAAGTGAGTATGTTTCAGTTGTAACAACGTCAGCTGACGCACGCCAACGACCACCCCAACATGACAAGCTGGGTACACTGAACACAATGGAATACAGTTGACAATTCTCGTAAGGTGGTATATACCGTGTTGTTGTCAGCGTTAACTGCGTACTCGATGCTATCTTGAAATACAAAACCAATATCATAATTGTGAGAAGGCGTGCACCCCTAATAGCGGTGTCTGTCGAAAACAAATTGTTGAAAACCTCCTCTCATGCCGACCTGGACTAAATTACGTTTGTGGCGTGGAAATAAAGACAAAAATAACACGTTCAAACTTTTAAAATGGCCGAAAAGGGAATATAACGCCGATAGTCTATTTTAAGGGAATCGAGAATAATCCGCCTCCCTGCTGATACACAAAATAGTTTAAAATATGTCTTACTCATGATAGTCGCCTCTATTCGGTTGGCGTGTTGCCTGTGTACTACATGTTTACTGTTGCTAGTCGTAGTTTGAAAAAATGCTGCACTTAACGTGCTTTTTTTTCGAGTGTGAATGTGTCGATTTCGGCAGGAAAACCGTTGTTTTAAGATGTACGGTTGTATTTATGCCATTAATCCAAAACAATGGAACAATAGATGATATTTTTTGTTAAAAATAGACTTATGACTACCCTCATAATGACTGGCTACTTATCATATGGTGCATCGCTGTCATGGGAGGTAGCTGGCAGGGAGAGGGGGATTTTGTTTTGTTATTGGCAGGAGTTACGGGCATTTTGGAACGTCAAACCGAGTGGCTGTTGATTTACACCGCCTTTAGTTACCACGCTGTTGTGGGAAATCTTTGATCGGGCGCGACACGTCAAATGAAATACGACAGACATTTTTTTACTCGTTTCCACAATTTATTAAACCGTACTCATTGTTTTGTCCTGTTTGTTTTTAATATTACATTGACGATTTCATAAACGATCTCGCGCGTGGTCACTTGACAGTGTTGAATATGTTTTCGTCCGGTGTTTTGGCGAATTCAATGTACCGTTTTGGGGGCTTGTCTTGTTATCATGAGAATGTGATCAAGTTAGCGGACGAATCAAAACCACGAGCCTCGGCTATGTCAACATATCTTGTTGGAGGCCTTGTAAATAATAAACTAGTGTACTAGTATTTCAAATAACGACCATGTTGTCAACAGAGAACTGTCAGTTCCCATCCTTCTAAGCGTTTCTCCCCAAAACGGCGTAATGGATCACTTCCTGGCTGCCTTTACTCAAAATCAACGGAAGTTCCATAAGTTGGAACTTGTTTCTGCATAATTAAGTGGCCGATATGGTCTCCTTTGTGTGTTTATCCGTATCGTTCATTGTTGTCTTTTTGTGTTCGCGTACTACAATCCGTCTTTAGTGGGAGGAGCGTGTGACACGCTGAGGACGCGCGCTGATTGGTCAGAGATCATTTAAATGACCCGTATGTTGTCCCACGTGGAGTAGAGCTGTCAAAATCGACTGCGACAAGCGTCGTGTATCTATTCGCATTGCAGCAGCCATAAGGGTTACTACGAGAACACGCTCATTGCTACCGCTGCTGAAAATCGTACAGGATTTGTCCGGAATCCTTGTGTCAACCCACCAACTGTCAACATACGACGATCCTTTGGATAACCTATCCACGTCCACTA